AATAATAATAATAATAATAATAATAATAATAATAATAATAGTGATGATAATAATGATAGTAATGATAATAATAATGAGAAGTAAGAATAACAGCGATGGTAACAATAACAGCTAAAGTACATGAAAACTGTTGAAAAATTGCTATGTGATAATCGAATACAAATATTTTAAAATTATCCTGCAAATATTTAAAAGTTACCTCACGCCTTCGCTTTATCGTCCGTACACAGTTTGCTATAAATTATACAAAACCGGCATTTTGGCATATCTAAAAAGATTATAAATTCAATTTTGGAATCCCATGCGTTCGTTTTCTTCATTCATCTTCTTTAACATTATCAATCATTATCATCACTTATCAATCTTCGACTGTTCATAAAACGACTTTAAAATGTCTTCTTTCCTCAAAATGTTATATATTGCTTTCATAAATTTCGAAAAACAATTTAACTAGTTTCAGATTTTTATTAGTTTGACAATGATTCCATATCCACGCGCTACTGGAGAACAAGCGCAAGAGCAATAAAATGAATCACGAAATACGTGATGATACGTACGTACGCTTCTTTTCAAAAAAATCATAAATGAGTAGAAAAGGACGAGGAAGATTGTCGTAACCATGTGGTGCAATGGATGACATAAGGGTTAGTAGATGTAAATGCTGCATTGCATGAGTAATTTCTTTAAAATGAAGGAATGAAACCAGAGTGACCAGAGTGAAAAAAAAAAAGTAAAATTTGAGACTGATTTTTCCAAGCGTTATTAATTTAAAATTAATTTTTGGTTAATTTAAAAAAAAAAAAGAAAGAGTTGAAATAACTAAAATTTATCTCTGCTTTCTGTCAACAGCGACAATCAACATCTACCTATACAATAAAGTGATGTATTTTGGAGATATTTTCAATAGAAAATAATATCATACAAATCTAAGCTTACGCAATTTTGTGGACATTTTTTGATGACACTCACACCAATCATATTATCGTGTAATTCTCATCCAACATTTTCCACTATTATCAAACATTTATACAAATCATTATCTTATCATTATCGCTACTGCCACTCATTATTCCAATCACTCCCTACTACTCTCTTCCCAAGATCATTACTATCATATTTGGATCATTTCAATCAAAAATTGAATGTTTACGAAAGTTAATTAAAACTTACATGAAATTAATTATTTGAAGATTTTCTTTCTTCCCCGCTTTGATAGCAAAACTGTTAATCCTGAAACTAAATTGTTTTTTTTTTCTATTTTAAACTTTCAAACATGAAAACAATATCACATACACATCATTAATGTTGATCAGAAAAGATTCAACCCTATATGACTTATCAATATTAGTGGATTTTTAAGATTCATCATTCATTACCGGGTTATGTAATATGAAGAATTTTTAGAATATTCAGGATGAAAGTAACTTCATTAAACAAATAACAACATAGCTGGCATTAAGTCATTAGTTGACTAATTAAGGAACTTCTAAACCTCAGGATATTTTGGAACTCTGAAATTTCAATCATCTGATTTCCACCAGCTGCTCGACCTGACTGATACGATTGTTCACGAAAAAGAAATTCAATTCAAAGAAATTTCACTGAATAAAATCCCGATTTTACATCCATGATTAAATATTGCCTCTGAATTACAAAGTATAGTCTAGAATATACTACTCTCATTACGTGAAGAAGCGTTCTTCCAACTTTACAGTATTTCTTTAAGCAAAACTTTTATTTTAAGCTCCTGATTTAGGTTTAATTTAGAGTTTGAAAAATCAGATTGTAAATAAATAAATCTCAAAAATCTAATTCTAAACATGGAAATTCCTTAATTCCAAGACATTTCTGAATTATGAGGTCGAAAAAAACGAAAAAAAAAGTGGATGGTTCGTTTATTTATGAATGGAAATAGATTTCTGTACAATATATGGTATTAATTACAACCTTTACAACAGCAATGATGATAATGCTAATAGTATTAATGTGTCGGCAAAGCTAAATCTGCATGGAAGCTCCATGAGAAGATTGGTTTAGTTTTGACAGAAAAAGAATGGTAAAATATCATCATCATCATCATCATTAATTATTATCATGATCAACATCATCACCGTTGTTATCGCAGTGCAGCCGATAAATTTAGAACGATAAACATTAGCAAAAGCAAATCTGAAGCTACAAAAAACTACAAAACAAACAAACCAACAACAACAATAACGAACAACGACAACGACAAACGGCGACAATAACAACAATAACAACAACAAACAAGTGCCAACAACGATAACAACAATAATAACAACAACTAAACAGAACACCGTTACTAGAGCGCATTCCTCTTTGCCTTGAAATAACGCTCAGCTCAACTGATCGCTTCATATTTCGACGTTTTGCATGTAAACGATCGGTGGATCAAAGTGTCGCATGGTATAGAAGAGGAAAGAATATTTATGTCATTAACCTCTTGTTGTAGTCATTTCCTGGATAATGCAATCACGCATCAAAGAATAATAATGCATATATAATAGTTATTAGTCTTGTTTATCATTTCAAGTAAGTATGAAGTATGATAACATCACTGATATTCCAATAAATGAGAGAAGGAGGATTAGCGGATAAATTCCTCATTCAAATACTTCTTTATAACTCATCAATTCAGGTTTGTTGAATAAGAGAATTATTTTAGAAATTGAAATTTCGTAACACTAAACTCATCAAATAAAATAAATAATTTCAAAATTAAAAAATGTTTTAGGGAAGAGAAAGAGAAAGCGAGAGAGAGAGAGAGAGAGAAAGAAATATTTCCGAAACTACATTCTCTGCAGAAATAAATGTTGAATTTTTCGATCTTATAATAGAACTTTACCTTTTTTTTTCTGTCTTTCTTTGAAACCAAAATGGCATTAAAGAGAGAAAGATATGATAAGTAAGGTTAATATAGATTGAATGAGAAAGGAATGTTTGGGTATTATCATCCAGATAATGATTTTTCTCAACATCGACAAATAACAATCATCCTCCAAATTCATCCCTTATAATATCGATAAAAGCAAGAAAAAAAAAAAAAAGAAACATTTTATTTAGGAAATCTTATCCAGAAAATGTATTAAAATGAATGTAAATGAACATAATGCTCTTTTGTATTCAATAAATAGACCATAAGATTTATGAAAAATTTCGAAAAAAAAAAAAGCAAAAGCTTCAAATGACCAAATGAGTCGATACTAAACAAAATGTTTGGTTAATGAATGAATCTCTCTCTTTCCCTCTCTCTCTCTCTCTCTCTTTACTAATTAGTATATCTATTTAATATCATGCTACTTCATTCCTATCTCATATTTTCATACTGTATTAATCCTTTTCTTAACAATTTATATCACATCTTGTTGAAAAGTTAGATAAGGAGGACGAGATCGAATAATAGTAGTAATGAAATGTTTTTTTCATTCCATTACTTTTTATGATAAACTTAAATAATGAATATCGGAAGATTATCATTAAATATGGATATTGTATTCATATCATACCATACATAGTTAATTATCAGATGGGTTGATTGAGAAATATCAGTGAAGTGTTCGAATTTGATTAATGCAAGTTTCCCTTTTTCTCAATGACATATCTGAATTGGAATTACTCATGATAATAAATGAAGTAAGCAAATTTTGCTATGGATAGCTTTCATTGTTGAGAGAAAGAGAAAAAAAAAGAAAAGAAGTATGAAATTGAGAGTGATGTAATTTCCATAAATTACAATCGTTGAATGGAGATGGCAGAAGTTCCTCGTTGACATAGCACCTCCCCTCCTCTCTCCCTATCTCTCTCTCTCTCTATTTTGAAATAAACACAATATTTTGTTGAAATTTGTTAAATTTTTATGTTTTTAAAATGATTTTTTTTCCTGCACAAGAATAACTGACTGCTTCATGAGTGTAACACTCGCGGATGAACGCTGAATGATGATGATGATGGTGATGATGATGATGATGATGATGACCCAGGACACAGGACGGCATTGGTAGTTGAAGCGGTTCAAATTTTACGAACGATGAGAAGTTGAGAAAAAAAGAACCACTGTAAACCAGACACATCATTATTGCATCAATTGACTTCCTCAATATTGCGTTACTTTACTAAATTTGACAGGATAATCGGATCATAACCAAATTTGAATTTGAATTTAAATCATAGAAATTCAGCCCAAGCATCAGTAAAAATGATTTCATCACTTTTATATTTATGTTTTTATTGAATCGAATGCAGTATTAAATGATACCCGTAGTGGGTCAGTGATATTCGATCTACAATATCATTAATAGCATTGTAATAATTGTGAAAAAGGGATGTCACATAAATGAAAATCTTTTTTCGGGAGATGACAAATATTACCATGTCCAGACAATATACAAAACTGGACTGATTTGGTAATGCTAGCAATTCTGAACAAACATTTGATAAGCGATAAGATGATAAGATGTACTAGCCTTCCTGTGATATTTACATCAAAAATAATCCCTCGAAAGTGTCGTCTAAATAGTGGTTCTCAATCCAGTAAAGGTGGTGATGTGATGAGTAGAAAGCATGCGGTTCCTTCTTTTTTACATTATAATGTTACTCTAATTTAATTTAATACATTGAAAAAAAGTTTCGACCAAAGTTTGTTTTCTCATTAGCACGATTCAATATTTTGAAATCATGTGACCAGTGGTCAAGGAAATGTTACAAACCACTTTAAATCTATGTGTTGTGTTAAGGACGTGATACGTATTACAAATCAAATTTCTCTTTCCCAATGCTCACATTCGAGGAAGAATGACCCTTTGTCATTTTTTCTAAACACAATTGGTTGTGCCAACAAGTCGTCAACAACTTGTTAGATGGAGTGTATGTGTTTGTGTGTGTGTGTGTGTGTGGTGTGTGTGCGGTGTGTGTGTAGTGTGTGTGTAGGCGTCCCATTAAGCGGAGTGATGGATCTTTTTGATTGCTTACATGGCGAAATAATTTGGTCCGTTCCTCTCTCCTTCTCTTCCTTCTACAGCTACAAACATTAGCATTCTTTTTTGGTTTGTTATATCAAAACTCATCCCTTCCTTTATAGGAATGACCCAAAAGGTACCACGATGACCTTTCCTCAAACAATATCGTGCTGTATTCATTGTTAACGGCAGCAGGAATTATGTCACGCGAATACAAACAACATTCGTTTTTCTCGTCTATCAGGCGTCGTAATTGATGAATCAAAAATTTAGCAGTTTACGGCGGGACTGAATCCATGTGAAATGTAACTTGACAATTGCACGTAATACACTGCGTACATCACGTGAATATACACGCAGGAAAGGATCCGCATAATAATACGACCCAAAGTTTCACAACAGCAGCAATAACATGGACGAGCTAGAGACCATTAGAGGAAGAGGAGAGCGCAGAATGCGAGAACTGGAAATAGCTTGATGCGATGCTAGGAGAGGACATGTAAGAAAGAGACGGACAAGTTAGAGTGCTGAGATGGCGAAGAGTACACGAAGGCATGGGAACAGATGATATCGTGATGTCTTCCCTTCCCCTGCCAGGACGGAGCCATCAATCGTGGGAGCTCCCCTCTTCTCGTTGTCTGTTTGCTATTGAATGCTGAAACCAAATGACGCCAGAAAAAAAAGGGTACTTTTTCAGGCAAGTCAGAGCGCTAGACCGGCAAACATCCTCTAAATAGTGCAGCAACGAGACGGAAGGACATATATGCCATCGCTTACCATGCATGCATATACAAGTGAAGCTGACATACGGAAGAGAATCGAAAACAAACGTGCAGAGTATGGATGTCGGATTGCTGAAGAAAAAGTGTAAGTGCAAAAATGAGAGCAGGGAACGAGGGGAATGGGAACATCGCCTTTGTAACGGTTGTGACGTCACGTGCCGCCAGTGTTCCCACGGAAAAGCAAGCGAACACTCTCTTTGTCATCCTCCTCGCACTTCGTTTCTCTCGTTCTCCTTCCATTCTTTGTTGCTCACAAGCAATCATTGACAGGATAAGCAATAAGAGAGCAGAGAGTCGAAAGACACGTCATTTATACGTCCCCCATGCTCTCTATCCGTCTGCAAATTAGAATGGAACGAAATGTTGTTAGCACAGTATACTGTAATACATTTGTGCAAATGGCCGAGTAATACACCAGTGCTAATTTTCGACCATTATCGACTACCATTCTAACCATCACAATTGGCATTGAGTTAGCAATGATTTTCGTGAATTTGAGAAACGGAGGAAATTTTTATTTAATATGAGGATGAGAGAAAGCGAGAAAGAGAAGGAGTGAGAGGAAGGGGGGAGAAAGAAAGAAGGGAAGAGAAAGAGCGCAGAGTGAGTAATGTTTTACACCTTCTCGGGAAATCCGTAACAAAATAATCACGATATCATTTTCAGTTTCCCATTCTCCGTCATTTATAGGATTCTAAAATTGAAAGTTTTTTTTTCTTCTAGGATGATTGTCGAAAAAAGATTCTGCAAGAAAAATTACAATCCATTCTTGAATTAATTTCAACCTTTCCAACTCCAGAATCATCGTATCATATGTAGACATATTCAACCAATAACACAACCTTGACGGATATTACTAATAGTGCCAGTAATGGATCGAGTCATTGAATCACTCAACTTATGCCTTTTTTTCTTATTAGATGACCATGAAATTTGGAATTACTTCCTGGAACATAAGGAAATTCAAAAATCAGATTAAGTTTACACCATAGTATCATCATATCATTACCAGTAAACGTATTTGTAATATTAATTTCCAGTGATACATTCTGTAGAGATAGAATGTGAAAGAAGAGATCGATTGAGAATGAAAGAAAGTTGCATAATAACAAGTTGTAAGCAATGATGCCCTTTACGGATAGATGAAATGAATCTTAAAGTGAAAGTAATCGTAGGTGGCTGTTGCTTAGCTTCCTCAATTCTTTCCGTTTTTAATCTAAAACAACAACCACAAGGCAGTTGCCATGGTAAGTAAGATGTTATGAAATTGAAATATATATTGTGTGATATAATCCTCTCCTACAACAATTTTTCCTTTTCCGGAATTCACAACAAGCAATATCTCCGTTTCCAGGTGATTTGTTCATATTAACTGAATTAATTCCTAATTTAGCATTAATCTTACTTAATCAAATCAAATAACTTAATTTTAACAAGATCTTCATGTATTTCTTTTTATCAACCATAGTTAACGCAAACAATGATAAGTAGTATTGAACGATATTAATTGTGAATTCCAATTAAGCAATGGATGAGCTTTACAACAAAACGTAGATGCAAGAATATTTAACGAAAAAACTTAAAATTCTTAAAACCTAATCTGGATTTTACAAGACCACTCAAGTTGTCCGGATTGGATAGTTTCCGATGAACATTAGCTAATTTAATTTTACCATTCTTTTTAAATTCTGTTCCAAATTATTCTTAATATTACAGTAATGTGTTCATTTCATATTGCTAATATAGAACAATTATGAAAGCGAAGGTAAACGTTAAGTACCTTTACCAGGACAAGAAAAATCAAGGTAAATTTGAGCCAAACGAAAAGGGAATGAAGATTGATGATTAGTGAAGAGACCCACGATTGAAGGTTATGTTGTCGCACATGCACATATTACCACTGATGGAAGAGAATTGTGAAGGATGTCCCCATCAACGCCGATGTCAGTTTATGCTCGCCAACAAATCGGTTTAACATAATGATGACTGATAAAGCAAGAGGTGAAATAATGAACGAAATGATTGAATGATAGAGAAGGTGAATCTTTCTACCTATGAGATAGTCCACGTAAGGGACATCTTTGAATATGTAAAATGTATCAGTGGATAGAATAAAGCTACACCAGCTGACTAAACGATTAATCCTTCAATGATTGTATTTCGATAAAAACCGACCAATAAAACGATCAATAATAAGAGCAATTGTGAATGGACCAAATTGAAGAGAGAAACAACAAATTTACAGATAAACATACAAATATTTATTTCAAATCCTTCGGCACGACAGACAAGGTTAAAGTAAACAATGAAAGACATGAAAAGTGTAATCAAATCAATGACCTCTTTCACAAAGCTATCGAGTTGACTGGCATTACTTGTTGTAAAAGTATAGGAAGAAGAAGAAGAAGCAGAGCGCTGATAGGAGAGGACAGCAATTGTTTACAATAATGCAACCATGACCATCCAAGAAGATGATGGTGACGTTAATAGTAATGGCATGGGATACTACTGACCATTTCTCTCTTTCTTTCCTATAAATAGTCTTATATTCTCCGCTACCTTCCCACAGAATTATAACATGTGGTAGATGCATAATAAAATAAAATAGGAAAGAGACTGACTTCCTGCTACTCACTATGTACCAACCTCTCGACCTTCCAATAACTTATTGACCTTCATTCGATGACCTCAGTAAACAATGGTACGTATGTGTGTATGTATGCATGTATGTATGTATATCTTATCATGTTTTTTCATGTTTTTCTTCTTTACTTTTCATTCTGATATTGCCAAACATGATGGCACCCGTTATAGTGGTAGGAGATGACAGTTGAAAAGAGAGCATTCATAGGAAATTTTTGAAGGGGTGAGAAATGTGGTAAAAGATAAAAGAGATAGAAATTGTGGTGACAAACAATTATGGTATAAATTAGACCTGAAATTGAAACTTTAGAATGGTGAGTGATAGAAGTAATCAAAATATATAAATATATATATATAGAGAGAGAGAAAGAGAAGAGGAGGAATGACTCTCCTTTGCTATCATCATCCTTCATTAAATGTGATGATTGAAGATGTGCGGACATTTTATATTAGTTGGAAAAAAGTACCGCCATCATTATTGATATAGCACTAAGATAATTTAACAAATACAAATATGCAAATATCTTCCTATAGTAAACCATTGAATAAGTTGACAAATACTTTACTTAACTGATGATTGTAATACTGTTTTGAATTATACATTAGTAATTTTTTTAATCAAATTTGTTTAGTATATTTGATAAAAAATTATATACCATACATATGTTAATAAGTGATCATCATGTCATGTCACATATGATGACAGATGAGACAACATTTATACGTATATATTTAGGTAAAGGAAAGGAAGTGTGTGTGTGTGAATATATGATGTGGTCTTTTTGAATGGGACAAAGGTGAATACAACTGTATCAAAAAATCGTCCACAACTACGACGATGACTGCAAAAAGGTAAAGGCGGCGACGACCGGACAATTGGTGCTGCTCTGAGAATGGGAATGAAAGAGCAACAAATTTATGTATGTGTGCATGTGTATGTGTATATATGCATATGTATGTGTGTATGTGTATATATGCATATGTATGTGTGTATGTGTATGTGTGTGTAGAAGCATTAGAGTGGCTTTAGAAAGCTTGCAAGTTGTATTTGATGTATGTTCGGAAAAGGTTGGAAATATTTTGCGGAAAAGGGTACGTGGGTGGCAGATAGAAAGGAATCAGCAATACACTCCAATAGAACGAGCATTGAGAGAGAGAGGTATGTTGTAATCGAATGCTTCCAAACTTATCGGACAAGTGAAGATGCTATGCTATGCTATGCTATGCTATAGAATACCATCAACTATATAGGGAGATAAATATAGCTTATTGATAAATATGAATGTGAGATTTGTGAAGCTGTAAGCCAAGAGGAAGTCTAAGAGGACAAGGGTGACATGTACGGGATTGAATGGGACAACAGGAAAAGCACGGGAAGCACCTTTGAAGGATGATAGAGAGAGAGAGAGAGAGAGAGAGAAGGAAGAGAGACGAACTTCACAGACAAGTGTGGTATAGAATGATCGAAAGAAGTTTAGGGTAGCCCCCCCCCCCCTCCACCCCTTACACCTCTTCCCTGCTCCCCTTTGAAAGGATGCGAAATTCACTCCAAAACGAGAATATCCACGGGGCGTCTTAACGACTCTCTCACTACCACCGTCATCACTCACATCTCTCTTCTTCTCTTCTCATTGTGTACAAGAAATTTTAAATGCATTATGACGTCATCGACACATATGTAAAATTTGAAGTTGCAGTGTAGAGATGCAAGATGATGATGATGATTGGAGGCTATCCCTTCTTCGCCCCTCCTCTCTCTCTCTCACTCTCCACTTTCGTGCCATGAAGAATTTCGTCGATAGGACGACGACGACAACGATGATATCTGCTGCAAATGAGACATCATTGTCATCATCATCATCATCATCATCATCATCATCATTTATGTATAGAGCAAGACATATTCCTCAAGATGGCAAGCATACACTACCATTTTCCGATTGTTTCTGATTCCTCCCCCGCCTCTAAATTTATCGGGGAACCGGATAGAAAGAGAGAGAAATTCATCGACACACCCTGTCTACAACTCATGAACAACATCATCAATAATTTCCTCTACCCTTCCTATTCCGTCGATTAAGTGAATATAATCGGGAGTAATTTCATCATGACTATTGTTATCTTGTTTACAACATCCTGTCATTTGCTGCTTTTAATATTTCTATGCTCATTTCCCCGTGTCACCACGGGATTTTACATATATATATATATATATATACACACACACACACACACACACACACACACACACACACACACACACACACACACACACACACACACACACACACACACACACACACACACACACACACACACACACACACACACACACACACACACACACACACACACACTACTACTACTAC